GTCAGCGTCACGTTGGACCGATTTCGAAAATTTTACGACCCTCCCCCTTCTAGAGGGCCTCGATACGACCCCCCCCCTCAGGGTCAACCCTTCACCACCCTCGCCTGCCATCGCCATCATGGGGCTCATTCTATAGTATTCGATTCTGAGACCAGTCGACACAGCCCAAACTCCGCCCACTTTTTTCCTCCAAAATTACCGTCGAGCGGGGTTCACGAAACGCAACATCCTCTCACTTTCCCTCTATTTACCCATTCCACTGCAACATTTTCTAAAAAAAAAGGGGGGGGGCATATACATACCGTGAAAAGGCAAAATTTAGTAGCGCGCCAACAACCTACATCATCACTCCCCTTACTCTAACATTAGCGCTACCTCGCGAAATACAACCCCTTCTTCTTCCACCCCAAATACGACCCTCTCCCCACCGTTCTGGACTTTGTCCAACGGACGGTTGACCCTGCTTCCACCCACGTGCGCGAATGTTGACGCGCTAAATGGGGTTCACTCTTGTGACTGTTATGCCTTTTTATTTCAGTATGGGAGAATGTCTGATGTTTGGGCTGGACTTGGAGTCTCGATATCTGTCGAATCTGCCAGCCGAAGAGGATGTCGTCAGCTTGCTCATTGGAACCCACAACATCAAGATGGATAATCAGGTAGGTGACAATGGGTGGGTCATTGAGTAGCAATATCCGTTCAAATGGAGTTCTACCGCAGATATGTCGCCTATCGCTGGATGGCGAGTACTCTCGGATCTCGTCATTGTCATTTCCGCACACAGTTGGAGAGGTACGTGGCTTGGCTGCCTCACCATCCAGTGCCGACATTGTGGCTTCAGCTGCTGCAAATTGTAAGTGAATTTAAGAATTTGTAAAAGTACGGGGGTGGGCGGTCAAGTGACTCGGAGGACAAGTACCCTCTATTTCGGAAACGAGAAGAGCGTCGAGTGCAGACCACACACCACAAGTGACGACGGCCAAGAAAAAGTGGCTTTTTTTCCTTTTCTTGGCCGTCGTCACTTGTGGTGTGTGGTCTGCACTCGACGCTCTTCTCGTTTTCTGAAATAGAGGGTGTTATCATTCGCGCTAAGCATAACCTTGCCCTTCTTTATAAGCCTCTCTGCGGTACGGGGTGACATTGTGTATGCTGTCCAATCAATGCTATGCCTACATGGAAAAACCGTAGTTGGTATTCGATATATGGTTTTGTAGAGAATTTAGACCGATGTGCTCCATGTCTACGATGCCTATATGGACCCCACTTGTACAGCAGGATTGCTATTTTGAAGGCACATTACCCAGCTAAATCACTGAGTAAGGCCCTCCCTCGTGTAGGTAAGGTTGCTGGGTGCGCGACTGCAGAGGTAAGGTTTTTTCAGAACTGGAAACTGTGGAGGGAGTAGGCGACAGAACGCCGTGGAAGCTGCCAAATCATTTGACTGCCTTCAAAATTTATCCTCAAAATACCAATAAAGATCATAGCGTACTGTTGAGGAAATACAGAATACGAAGGGCATATGGTAAGACACGAGAAATACGTAGGTACAAAAGAGAGAAGACAGGGATGTGGGATCAGATCTTGACGCAGCTTTGCAGAGAGCTTCGCCTTGGTGAGGAATCGGAATGAGAAGAGGTCACGGCGGGGTCACATTGCCCGCATAGGCTGTGGTTCCCACCCAGGCACTGCCCATATTTCGGCCTGATCAATGAACCATTAGGCTGGTGTCAGAGTCCGCGATCCGTCGCGCGATTCGCGCGAATCGCAAAAATCGCAAGTGCCCATTTGAACATTTGAAACACTGAATATGAAACAAGTAGAATCATGAACAGTCGTCATTCAACCATCACCATCAAGCAGAAATGGCGGCGGGATTGGAGAGCACCTTCGCAGTATTGATCGGGCACTTGATTTCTGCGATCCGTCGCGCGATCGCGCGAATCGCGCGACGAATCGCGGACTCTGACACCAGCCTTAGATTATCGTGATGATCGATCTACAATGACTGCCTCCCCTTAAAAATGATAGTCAGATAAAAAAAAGAGCCAACTAGGCACTAGTAATCGTGACACTTACGAAATGGCGCCGGAGTGATAATGCGCAATGTGCTACTGGGAGTATTCATTTATCATTATGCAGTACCATTTCAAAGAAAAAGCACATTCAATTAAAGTTCATGGATCGCCAGCCACATTCGGCATTCATTTATGGCAAATGGACAGCAGCAAAGGAGCACTGAAGGAATTGGCTTCTGCTGCCATCGACGATTGTCCGCTGAGGTAGTTTATTGAGACTGAATACCCTAAAATCTTTGAATAATTGTCATCGAAGTAAGTGTTAGAGAATAGTCGAAAACGGTCAGCTGGCATTGGCGACAAATCTGAGAATAGGGTGAATTTAGAAAATGCAGGTTGTTAGTGTTTTGCATACCAAGCGGAAAGGATATAATGATAACGAGAACAGAGAAACTTCTGAAAATGTTACCTGGCTAGCTCTTTTTGGTAACTTTTTTACACGTTTAGCTACGAATGGGACCAACAGAGTGGGCTCGCTTCTTCTCTTTTCCGATCCTCAGTGCAGATTTTTCAATCAGAAGAAGGTCTGAAGGTAAGTTGAGCTGCAGCTATGCAGTTTGTAGTACAGGTGTAATCTTCACAACATCGATTTGAATTTTCTTCTCTTTATTCTCAATTTTACCGCGGATCTATCCTGATCTCTCTTTAATTCAAATCCTTGTCGGTGAATTCTGTTCACGGTACGTCTCGAGTGACCCTGAAGACATAGCCATCTATTCGCATTCATCTCTATTGTTGGCTTGTCCGGAGTATAGGATTATTCGATTCTTCATCTCGTAACTTGCTGCGCCTAAGAGTACTCTGTCTGTTTTGATCTGATACTGTTGGGACCCTAGAGAGTCTTCCCTCCGACAACCATGAAGCAGAGACTATGGAAAGACCAGGAGAACAGTTGTTAAGTGGGGGAGTACAGTGAATAGTTCGCTGTAGCTGTTAGCGAGTAGAGTATTTGTAGATCACGAGTTTTTATGAAAGAGGATTATTTAAAAGCGAGCGGAATTTTGTCTCTGTACATTGGATTTGGTCGGAAGTGTTCAGTGTTCTGTTCTGAGTGGGAAAAGACAGTCAGCACATGGCTGCTGATCTTCTGACTGGATCGCGTGGATTTCTAGAGAACCATGGACCCGAAGTACAGAAGTTCATGAAACGGTAGTCAGGGGAACAATCAGACATCTCTGCTGCCGTTACAAGGGAGGTCGTTCAGGGTGTGCCAAGCTTTTTCAAAATGGTTTCTTGCAGGCACATATGGTTTTCTGGTTCGAAAGGTGCGACTAGGGACCCCTTTTCTGGTATTCAGAGGGCCGTTCAGGAAAAATTAACCATGGTTCTGTGGTTCCCGCATGTGCCCCTATATCATGCAAAAGACCGTTTTCAAAAAGCTTGGCACACCCTGAAAGACCTTCCTTGTTTCAAAAATCAATTGTATAGTATTTTATCGACAAGTGAGCTTTAGTTGTACCCTCGCCTTCAAATGACCAGAAATTGTGCAATTGCAGAAATTGACGTGGCATTGGCACACGTGGCTAAATTCTCGATGAAAAGGTGACATCACGTGTGCTCAAAGATGTTCTTGAATCGATGCCACGTTAATGCCACGTCAATTTCTGCAATTGCACAATTTCTGGTCATTTGAAGGCGAGGGTATGTATGAGCCGTACACAACACTTCTCCACAGTTTCAACCGTGGGTAATTCACCAACGAGTGGATTGTATTTGGTCCATGGAAAGGAGTCGTAAGCGCAGGGGCCGGGGCAGGACACGCGGCGGTATTCCCGTTAGTAGAGGTCTGGGAGGAAGGTATCGAGGTAGAGAACCTGAGTTGAGCGAAAACTAAAGGGCTTTGGGAAGCGCCGATCGTTTTATGTCTCTTCGAGAGACGATCTTTGATATCTCAAACGAGATGGTCCGCGGAAATGACAAACGCGTTGAAAAAATGAAGTTTGAATGTGACTATACCAAGATTATAAGCCTCACCTTTCTACACGATCCTACTGGAATGGCGGGTATTCGCAATCCAAAGCAAAGAGTAACAGGTTTTCATATGCTTTTGTGACGCTGAGCAAAAGACAAGTGCACGGCGCATTTTTCACCAATTTTCAGTTTTTTTTTTGATTTCTTTTTTTTTAACGAATTGTCGACTGATTGTGAGAATTTAGGGTGAAGGAAAAACGTTCGCTGAACGGCACAGCCACATGCACAAACGTGAATCCTCACCAAGCCGGTGGCAACAAATGACTCGGAACATATGGGCTGATCGAAATAAGACATTACAAATTTTATTACTTTCAACGAAATTTACGTACGCCTGGTAAAAGCACGTGATATTTGCAAGACCCTATACTGTTGTGAAATTGGGCAGCACTATCATTTAGTAAAACCATCCTTACAAGCCCTGTAGTCTAAAGGACTGTCATTATTTCAGCATTATTATCAACTCCTTATATAACTTCACCGTTTCTCGAAAATGCCAAAAAAATACCTCAAGTAAGTATTTAAGATCTTAATAATTACTAGTTTATTTTTTTGACAATTGATAACTGCTGCTTTGGTCGCAGCTCGCTCCACGTTGCGAAATTCACGGAAAAAACGTGCTGGTGGATTATGAACACGTGTATCGAAGAGCGCACAGGAAAGCACAGTGCAAGCTGGACGGAGCTCCGGCCACAGTGCGGCGGGACCGCCGTCGGATCGGGCCGTGCTGGTGGCAAAAGTTCCAAGTTCGGTTGTAGAGCAGTAGAAAACCGGAAAAAAGTGGACATAGGTGTCGAAAGGCGAAAGGTTAAATGTGATGGGGGGGGGGAGCGTATATTGAGGTGGACGGAGCTTGCTACGAAAATTCTAATATCGATTACCAGTTTCATACCGCTGAAGTCCCGTTTGATGAACGAGAATGCGTGCGTTGCAAAATTGGTTGGTAAAATGAATAATCGAGGGAAACAAGAATCAAAATTAATTGCTCAAAGCTCTCAGCTCGCGGTTAAACATCTGCCGATTGTCGGCGAATAAACTAGCCTTACACCAACGCTTATGTGATTCTTTGGTAGCTTCCCTAAGCTTGGTAAATATACCACGAAAAGCTTACAAGGGAAGGATGGTAGGTCGAAGTGGCCGTTCGAAATGAAATGTATACCTCCTGATGCGTCTCCAGACGCTGATTCCAAATCTGCCTTCCAAATCTGCTAAACGACTCTCCGAACGGAGTTATGAAGCGTAATAGCTCAGTGGTGATGGTCCGGGGTGGCAGGTAAAAGCTCGTAGGATCGGTTCCTTTGCAAATTGGTTGCTTTGCTTTTGTCTCTAAGAAGTGTTGCGGAGCAGCAAAGGAACCGATCCTACGAGCTTTTACCTGCCACCCCGGACCATCACCACTGAGCTATTACGCTTCATAACTCCGTTCGGAGAGCCGTTTAGCAGATTTGGAAGGCAGATTTGGAATCAGCGTCTAGAGACGCATCAGGTGGTATACATCTCATTTTAACGGCCACTTCGACCTACCATCCTTTCCTTGTTAGTTAACTTGAAACGGTGCCCTAGTAGTATGACGGAGCGGACTTGCCCGGTAAGCGGAGGTGAGGGTTCGAGTCCGCGTGGGGCAAAAATTTTGCCCAAAGCGTCCCTATAAAACTTAACATTAACTTTGTGATACATCATGGTCTCTGCTTCGACTCGGAGAAACTGTCTCACCTGAATACACATTTACTTCACTTACCCTGGGTCTGAAAATGTACAGCAAGGTCTTTTAACGCGGTGACGACAGTTCGCTGTGAGTGTAACTTGGCAGGTTTTTATTTCAGAACCTTCAAAACTCCTCCAATCATTACACTACTAGTCGCCTACTAGACTGTCGATAAACCTCGGCATACTTACAGTACGAATTTATTTGACTTCAACAGCACACGAGGTTGATAATGATTCCGTTGGCTAACGTTTCGGCGATTTCGCCTTCTTCGGAGCCTAAAAAGGTGGAAACCAATTCACGACCTATCCGACCAAATGTTTCACTACCCTACGAGACCTTCGAGACCTACTAAACCACAGTATAGCAGTTATCAGACTGACTGCTATACCGTCGTTTCTGTGAGCTGACTCCGCTGATGTGGAAGGGACAGTCTCTACTACCTATTAATTATGTGTGCCATGTGCAGGTGGGAAATCACTTATTCTTGAAACAACTTCTAAGAAGGACTCTGTGAAGTAGGTGGCCAGTGCCATTGGGTACTCCTCATGTGCGCCTAGATTTGCCTTTCTGTGAATGAATTCACTAAAGGAGTCAAATCAATATGGAATAGAATTTCCAAGGATTTCCTTTTGTGTGCCTGAGTATTTAGTTTTGTTCTTGATGAAGCAGTCATCCCACCTTTGGCTTTTTTCAAGCCCCTACTATTCAATGTCTAGAAGGTCTCACCTGTTTGTGAAGCTATTTCAGGGAGTCACTACGAATCAAAGATGCTCACGCTCACCGTGCATTACACCTGGATTTCAACCCAAATTTGCAACATATGTTAGTGCTTTTGGTGATTTTCTGCTCTTCTGTGTTGTTTATTGTTATTATTTATTACCCGTTTAGCGTAGCCTCCTGTGGCGATGACGGTGCCGTCCGGTTGTGGGATTGGCGGAATCCCAAGCGTCGCGCTGGTGACTGTGACTCCAGCATGCGCACTGGGCTTGGCAGGTACTGTTCAGTTCGAGTAATAATAGACCACAAGAGAAATTTGGTAGGTGTGC